GTCTTCCTACCAATATAACTAAGTTGCGAAAGCAAGGTCAAAGAACTTCTGTAAACTAGATTAGTTCGCTCCCTAGATGAAAATACCTCCTTCATTACTTAAACTCATGGTATGAATGTGAAAGATTCACTTGTTAAGGGTGACTGGAGACCCGTAGATTTATTTACGAAGATTTTAGCTTCTGAATTTGCTGATTTTGTATTTTGACAATTATTTTTATATAACTAGTATATACCTGTTAATTCCAGCATGTTTTGTTCCTTCAATCCCCTGCTAGGCTCTTCTCGTATGTTAAAACCCGGCAAGCGTCCTCGGCTCCGGAGCTCCGTTTCTCGAGGACCTCCTATGCTCGCCTCATCTCTCTGCTTTGATAACTCTGATCCTGGAAACGCTACAACAACCAGTACATCTGTCATGCCTTCTTCTCTAATAGCCATCGGTAATATCTCAGATATTTGCGATCAAGTCTCTCATCCCAAGCAGTCGGGTCTGAGGCTTTATGGGGATTTGTCAGATCGTACTTTGGCTGACAAACTGGCTCTTCGGCCCTCCAATTTATACCACACTACATTGCATGCACATACCGACTACCGAGCAGATGCTTTTCCTATGGCTCATATCAGATGTACTCCTTTACAGGCACACATGCCTCAATCTTGTTCTAAAACTAGCCTGATGTCTTGTCTAGCAATGGCGACAGCTACGCCCATTCACGGATCCAGAGCCTATTTAGGCGCAGACCCATCGGCACCAGTGGTTTTAATAGATCCAGGACTGGCGATGCTACTTCGCGAGTCTCCACGTGTACGCTTACCAAGCAATCCGATGCATTGGAGTCCGATCGATCTGGCCTCCTACCTTAGTGGCACCGACTGCCGAGAAATGTGGCCATGGCTAGCAGCCGAGGCCGTCGATGGGCAAGCATTCATGCTTCTTACTTTGCCCATCCTACACCGACTTGTTGGCCTTCAATGGCAGGATGCTGTCCGTCTGGCTAAGCATGTTGTCTCAGTAAAACGCGCTTTTGTAGAGCAGTACGCAAATTCCGAGACGGAGGCTAGCTCGCCTACCATTGTCACTACCGCCATTGCCTCATTTACCATGCCTGCCGTTACTACCACAACTTCCTCCCTCACAATTTCTTCCGCCGCGATAGCAACTTCTGCTGCGACCGTTTTTACCACTGCCACTTCATCTTTCCCCGACTCTTTATCCACTGGCAACTTTGTTAGAGCCGGCTACTTTACTTCCAGGTCTACTGGAATTATGAGTCATCAAATCGAGTCAAATGAAAATGGTACAAATCCGAACGTTGGCCTCTTGGCCGCGACGGCCCTCATATCTGGCCAGCCTACACTTCCTGCGACTCCAAAGTCGTTAGAGGTCGCTGCAGTCGTCACCGCCGCCTCTTCTCGTGTCTTTAGTTGTGGGGACTAAGGCCTTTGTTTAGTTTCTTCAGCTTTGTAAGTCGGCGAAGCGAAAAATTCGTATTCCATCACTGTCTTTTCACATCCATATCTTTATGCTGTGCACTTTTCGTAGCTCGATGATCGATATCCAACTTTCCTTTTTAGCTCTTCTCCCAAAGATTTTAAACAACCTTCTCATCTGACTTAGTGATGATATAGAACGAAGGGAAGTTAGGTTTTTTGAAATAATTTTGGCCGGGTAGCTGGATAGCCCTGATACTCTGTTTCTGTTCCTCCTTGGCTTTATCGGCTAGTCAACTTTCGAAAGATGTTCTAATTGCCTAGTCTCGAATGCTATAACTTGTATAAATTTCCCCTCTCTAGGCATGTTAAACTGCCTGATCCTCTAATTATGCTCAGATTACAATGTTAGAGAGGAAAAATGGGTATCATCTTGACACTCATCTTTGGCGCCGGAGAAATCCTTTAAAAAATCTGCCATGCCATTGTTAAACAGATGTTATGAAGCCCTCCTAGGGGCAAACCACGTTCAGATTTTTAAAATCTATTAATAGAGTCTAGTACAGCACTTAACCCTGTCACGCCTGCCTTGGAGGCTGGATGAACACTTGATTCAGTCTTCTTGTTTCTCTCACGCCTGTGTAATCATTTCTGCGCATTCAACCATACAGTCTCTTGCGTTTTGTTTATACCTATCACTCTAGCCTATGGAAGGGACGTTTTTGTATCTTTTCCTTCGCTTTCACTTTATCCGATTGCCCTTTGTAAGCTCTTTCTCTTGCATTGTATTTACTTTCGGACAATTTAGTTGATAATTAAAACAGCTTTTTTAAAGGTTGTTTGTTGTACATACTTTTAGCCAAATTTCTTTTTTATATAATCTATTACCAATTTTTCCTATATTCCTCAGACCTGCGTTTTACTGTTACCTCTTTCCTTTCCTCGCCTTTTATGATAGCCGCTTCTTTCGTGGCTTTTCCTGCGATCCAATTTTATTTTGTATCTAAACATTTCTCTTACAATCGCGCCGATATGTAGATACAATGTATATTTGCACTATTTTATCCGCCAATATGGGGCCTCGTTTTATATGTATTTCTCAATATCTTTAATCTCCATCAAGATTCGATGTGCTTGAAAGTGATTTCACCTATCGAATAAAAAGTTGATATACAACAGACCAAAGATTTAGTATCTTGTATATATACTTCAATATCTTCATATTCCCATACTTATTTGAACACAAATGATGGTTTTATGCGCCACAAATTGACTGTATTTTCTCTTGATGCATTTGCTAGACTGAATTGTTGTTTGAGGTTAGGTTATTGCCACTTGCTACCTTCTCACTTTAGCTGCTTTCTTATTGCCCTCAAAATTTCATCCGGCCACGCAGCTCCGTTCACTGGTCCTGTTATTTCATTTCTTCTGGATTAGCCCTTGATCTACGAATTTTCATATTCACTGCGCCCTGTTTCAGCAAGTAAAGTGGTCTCAACATGAGCTCTCGCTGGTCATTGATTTATAATCTTTTCCTGGTCGATACTTGAGTTGGGCTTAATCTAATCAGCCTTACTGGCTTGCTTAGACCGAAAATAGTAGGTCAAGCCGTCTCCAAAACTTGACCATCTAGCCCACCTTTCCTGCCGTCTAACTGATTTGCGAGATTCTTTCCTGTAGCTATGTATCGACAGAACTATCAGTCAGGCATTCTCTCCATCTTCTATAGCGTTGGACAGAAGCCCTTATTGAACTGGGCCTCTAAGGCTCAGGCCGGCGGAATTAAACGCATTACGGATCAGGAGATTCGCTCCCTTGTGCTTGACATGCGAGCGTCAAATATCACCACAACATACATCGAATGCCCAGCCAAACCACATGAAACTTTGGGCATACGCATGCCGATTTTTGTGCTACTATTCAAGAATGTAAATCGCTTCTTCTCATTTCAAATTGAAGTGCTGGACTGTACTGGCTTCAAGCGCAGGTTTCGCGCCAGCAACTTTGTGAAGGTGACGTCAATGAAGCAGTTCACCACCTCTATGCCTCTCGTCCTGCATCCTGGTTGGAATACCGTTGTCTTTGATCTACACCGGCTACTGGATTATTGCTATAAGCAGCGATTACTCGAGGTGAATAGAGTGAAAATTCACGCCAACTGTAGATTGCGTCGTGTTTACTTTTGTGACAGGCCATACAGCGATAGCGAATTGCCCAAGGAATATAAACTGCATCTAATGCCCAATATTGGATATTGAAGCTGGGTCAATTATTCATCGTTCGGCTTTATATTCTGCTCTCGTGGAAAAACGCTGTAGAATTCACAAAATTGAATTACTTTTAGCTTAAACTAAGCTATTGCTTGCGCCGGAATGGATTTACCACTTATGCGGCTTGTTTAGCAGGCGGATATCACCTTAACCGGGTTTGGTTTTTCAATCCGCTCCTCCTTCTATATGTATTCGCAAAATCCAAGACTAATCTAAAAATGCAAGCTTATCTCTGAAGGGCTACCATCTTTCTTCATTGGCGACATTTAACTACGCATTTCTGCTCATTTGTTTCTGATGTAAACTTACCCAAGTTAAAATATGCTGTCTTGCTGAGAAGAAAGCATTTAGTATCGGGGCCAAACAGCTGATAATATCCCATTCGAGATTAAGTCTTCAAGGGTTATGAGACTTCTAAATATACGACGCGCAATTTTGAGACAAACGTTACTATTCATCTTTATTAACAGTGATTCAGTGGTCGGGTCGTGACTAGTTATTTCAATAGTACTCTGCTCTGCCACATGGATTCCTTGGAAAGTGAAGCCCTGTACCTCAGACCGCTTATTGCCATTATCCGCATTTGATAGACTGTTAGGAAACTACAGACAGTTATCAAAACTTTTGTTTATGGGCTACTAGAGGCCGATCCGTCTCCGACTAGCTTATTTTGTAGACTGGTTCCTTGAGATATTGAGTTGTATAAGCCAATTTATTTCTAGATTTTGCGTTGTTTTTAACTCTATGACCATAGAAAAGAATATGCTCAAACTGATTTGTGCTCTGAATGGAAACTGGCTCGGTCTCTAGTTGTAAGGCTGTCAAATCTTGTCTTTTTTAACTGTCCTGTACAGTTCGTTGTCCACTTGATCCAATATTGAGTGCTGAATAAGCCGAATCATCATCCCTTTACATTTGATCTAGGATCTTACTAATTCCATGACGTCTGGCTGGTTTGAAATTTTTTTATCACGCTCCCCTATCACAATTCTATTAATACTTTGGAATCGTAATATTTAGTGCAACCAAAGACTCGTGTCGCCGCCCTGAATACTGTAGGTATCATTTACTACTTTAGTGTTTTCGTTCTGAGTTAATTTAATTTGGGCGTTATATTTTTCGTACCTTAGGTCAACTTAGGATACAGTGAACTTTGTAAGCCTAATTTGTTTAATTCAAATGTATTGGCTGCTTTGAAAATAACAGCAATTCTGTCTGGTGGGCATTCGAAGGAACTGCTCCGCCTAACGATTAATTTGTCAGGGGGGGTTGTATTATATGAAACTACTTTGCTTCTAATCGTGGTACGGCCTATGGATTAATGTATTGGCTCATTAATTTGAATCCTACTGTGGTCTTTGTGAAATTCGTTTAGACTTAAAATTCCAATCCTTCATGGATGAGACTGGAATTGTAAGTGTGTATGACAGGGCAGTTTACTTTAGATTAATGGTGATTGGAACCGCCCTAAAGTCCAATGAATCGATATGATACTAGGTTAGCTTGACAACATTTAGATTTTCGCTCGCCTAGAATATTTACCATAAGTCCCCTATTCTTTATGTAACTCTCCATCCGACTTCACTTTTACTATTGCCTCATCAGAATCATATATAATAGCACTTTTATACAAACTTTTAATACTGCTCGGTTGCCTTAAACTCAAGATTTCTTGCCATAGCTTTGA